TGGGAATCCACAGATACAACAGGCTACTACTCGTGGGTCTGTTGCATCTTTAAGCACTATCGTGAATGCCATATTTCCACATCCATGAAATATTATTCTTGTCCACAGAATGAGTAGCAGATCTTTCTGAAGTGATTTCTAAAGGTGCCCCTCCCTCTGCGAGGGATCCAGCAAAGGTTACCTGTTGTAGGTGACCATGTGGGTTACTATTGCCTGGTCAGGAAGGTCCTTCATAAAAATGATTTTTATTCACATCCCTGATGTTTTCTTACTTTATGGAAAAATACTAATCACAGTTTTTAGCCTTCCTTAATAGATTACTACAAACTTAACTTTCTTGGGGGGAAGGAAATCAAAACATAATTAACACTTAGACTTTATGATACACCTTTATACAACAGAAAGAATTATCTTCTCTCCATCCAGAGCCAGTCTGCATTCTTCATGGGCAATGTGATCTCTCGTAGTCCTTCATGTTGTTTTGAATTATGAGAACTTGACCTATATTCACCATTGACTCTAGGGTGACTCATGCAGATTACTCTGTATTTGATTAGCTGAGACCTCATGGTGCATTTTTCTGCAACTTCTTCAACTGTAATTAATCAGAATTTTGGCAGTAGTCTCCCCACCGAGGCCATGTTTTAGTGAATGACATTTCTTTGTGTTAAGTCTTTGAGCCCCAAGGCTATTGAGATTTCAGAGTTGGATTTCTGGTCATTCTTCAAAGCTTCCTTTTTTGGCTAAAATAAAAATGACAGACCAGCATCTATAACGGGGTCTATAAGTTAATTTGCATTTAGACAGCAACTGACAACATTGAACCAACTGAGCATGGCACATGGTTTTTGGAGAAAGTTTCTGCAGGTTTTACCTAAACGAAGGGTTGAAAGATCTGTGGTATGGTTGAGTCATTGAGAATGAGTGACATCATTGACGTGGACTGCTGGGACAGAGTTTCTCAGAATAGATAAAATGAGAGCTCAATGGTCAAAGGATGGAAAATAAAATAGGGTTTTTTATCTGTTTTGTTGTCCTGCCCTATTGTCCTGCTTCTGAGTTTTGAAGAGTCAAAAAATGCTTTTTTTTTAAATGTCTATGACCTCTGTATTAGGTGTGATCAGATTGAGGGATATTTGACATAAAAACTATCCCAAACTTTTCCTTCCTGATCTGAATGTGTCTCTCTCTGACAGTAAGTCAGAATTGTATTCTTGGTACCCTCTTTTCTTTTCTTTCTTTTTTCTTGTTATCTCTTGGTGTCTATTTTTTCTCCTCTCACATAGTTGTAAATAATTTCTTTCAAGGTCTCTAAATATTGGCAGTTATACTCCTTGCTTTTTCCAACATTTCTTCAAGAAATGCCTCACAAAAGAGAAGGAGGAATCAGCTCCGTGACTTGGAGTCTTTGGGTTACTGTATAAAGCTGTAAGGCCTATGGGGTAGGGCTAAAGACAAAAGCCTCACAGATACAGATCTCATTGAAGTAAAAGTTGTTCAACGGTGACTAGAAGTAAAACTGCACATGAATTCCCCAGGGTTATGGGGGAAGACATGGTCGAAGTCCACGGTAATGTTTAGGTAAATAGTAGAAAAACACAGATCCAAACTTGGGATAGATACTTGGATAGAGAAGCAGGTATAGCTCAAGCAGAATAATCCTGTAGAACTGGTGTCTTGTATACTTCCATATTCTTAATTTGGACAAGTTGTTTCAGCACAATGTTTGAATTCATAAATCCATAGTCCTTACCCAGTCATGCTGATTATTGAATTCATTACTTTTGCTGTTTATTATTTTTGTGCTGGGGGGCTATACACACAATTCTAAAGTCAATTTGATGTCTGTTTCCTTAGACAAAGTTCTATCATAAATATTTCTTAATAGAGTTACAACATACCTCTAAGGATAGGGGGAGTTTTGGAAGTTGTGCTTAAACTAAAGGAAGAAAACTCCGCAGCATGACTGAGCCATTGAGTCAGGGCAGGGTTCATCTGCGTTGGCTGTTGAATTGGGAGCAGGCTCCTCATCTCACAGACGGCCAAGCCAAGATTCAGAGTCTTAACAAAAAGTAAAGCTTGGACTTAGTTCAGACTGATCTAACTCCATTGATCAGGCAGTTTGCTGATTTAAGTTTTATAGTTCTAAGTCTGTTGTTGGGAACCATGGTTTCCTGTCAGGATACCTGGTTTTCCACATCAGTTCCAGGGAGGTTTGAGGACATTCCACGCGAAAGAAAAAGAGTTGTGATTTTCAGGTCAAATGTTGTAAAACCAAGAAATCATCAGATTTTCAACTTCCATTCCTTAACTGAAGTGACATGGCCAGGCAGGGTCACCTTTCCTGGGGCGAGCAATGGGACTTTTCATTGCCTATTTATAATCAAATCTCTTTCACCTAAATATTTTTTTGAGGAATTGGCTGGGTACAGGACATTATAACAAGATATAAATGGTTTCAGACTTCAAGGGAAATACCAAAAATACAAAATAATGACTGGTGAAGCCCACCAAATCAAGGCACAACCGATACTCAAAGATGCATCGTAATTTGGCTTATTTTCCTATCTTATTTCACTTTTCAAAGGAAAAATGAAGTTAAGGAAACTGTGTAAGTAGCTGTGAGACTTGAATGCTCATAACAGATTCATTTAGTTCATTTAGTAGGTGGCCTACTGCATGTATATATGTAGTATGATTAACAAAAACTCAGAGACAGATATCGGGGTTCAATCTGAATATCAGAAAAGCAAAATAGCCAGCTACTGGCTCTTACCTCTACCTCAGTCTGAAATAGTGATTCTGCCTTCAGGAATCTCAGACTGAAACTGAGACTGAGAGCTGTCGCCTCCCATTTTATATTCCTCTCTAGGTCTGGGATTAATGGTGTGCACCACTACTGCCTGGTTTCTATTGTGAACTAGTGTGGCTACTGGGAGTAAAGGTGTGTGTCACCACTGCCTGGTCTGTAAGGCTGACCAGTGGGACTGTTTTACTTTCCGATCTTCAGGCAAGCTTTATTTACTAAAATACAAATGAAATATCACTATAGTTGGGTGGTGGTAGCGCACGCCTTTAATCCCAGTACTTGGGAGGCCGAGGCAAGAAGATCTCTGTGAGTTCGAGGCTAGTCTGATCTACAAGAGCTATTTCCAGGACAGGTTCCCAAACTACAGAGAAACCTTGTCTTGAAAAAAAAATCGCTGCGTTACTGCACATATATATTTACATTGCTAGTCTGAGTGGCGTCAAGGATGGTGAGAGAAGAACCAATCAGAAAAACCTTTCTGAACAAAGTGAGCTTTGAGTTGGGTTTAAAAGGTGAGGGCCAGGGAAGAAGAAAGAGATGCCCTGCATGTGGAATAGAATGGGTAAAGGAGTCTAGCCTTAGGCTTGGGCCTCTTTGCTGTTTCTGGGATGCAAAGGAGGTGGGAGGCTGTAGAAGAAGACGGGGGAAGGGACATAATGGCAGTGAGGTCATCCAAGGGTGCAGGTCAGATACGGGTCCTCCATTATCAGGATAAAGCACTTATGTATACCTGTGAGCTGATAGTCAGGTGCTGGAACAGCTCACGAGGGCTTTGGTCTGCCCTACATTTCCCCTCCACACTGGGGGCCTCCCAATAGCTCTGCTTACGCCCAGCCACCACAGGCTACAAGCAACTTGTTTCCACCAGCTGACTTCCAAAGAATGGAGAATCTTGCTAAGATTCCCACTGCCAAGTTATTTTCTGTTCTCTTTGCTGTGATATTTACTTTGAAATCCTCACTTCAGCAGGATCTACATGGATCAGCACTTAGGGGCCTAAGTCTTGTAGATCTTCTCATGTACAGCAATTTTAGATCAGTATTTGAACTTTATTACAGCAATGAGGGCTCCTTTAGGTGAGCTTTTGTTTTTTGTTATATTATTTTGTATATTTGTACTACTAGATTGCACCGAGCATAGGGATGGAATCTTCACATTTAATTAATTCTATTTTAGAATCTGCCATGAGCTCAGTCTAATACAAAAATGATTAATGTGATATACTAGAGATAAGCAATTATCGTACTCTATATTAAGTACTGTGGCCCCTTCCTGTACACGTGCTTAATGTAGCAGGGAGCTTCCAATATCAGTACCCATCCACCTTGCCACTCTTCCCAGTCTCTTCCTCTTTTTGGGCTCACTTCCTCTGGAGAGGAAAAGCTGCCATGCTGGAAGAATATTATTGAGGGCATGGAGAAAGGTATATAACAAGAGATGGCAACATCCACCTCAAGGGAGAAACTGCATCATAGCTACATAACCAAAGTGCTTCCAGATCTTAAAACAGGTAGTGAGATAATGGTCATTGCTTTATGGTCTCAGTTTGCGGGTAAATGACTGAGCCAATAACATTCTAGCTGTATTGGGTTGGGAGGGCTGTAGAAAAAGAGTGTGTATTCTTAGAACACAGGAAATCCCAATCATATTTCTAATAAAAAAAAGGGGGGTACTTTGGAATTTTGCTTTAGCTCATTGTTAAATGCAAATCTAGGTCACATATTAGATCATTTACATTTAAACTGAGTCCCCCCAAATAAGGGCAGTACAAGTGGGCTCTGACTTTTCGTCTAAACAATGAGTTTGTGCTCTCTGTGTTTGCTCACTGGTAGAGAATTTCATTTGCATTAAATCATGCTTTCTTGACACCAGTGAAGAAATGTAATAATTTATACCCTGCATGACTTGAGGTCTAAATGAGTCAATGTGCACAACAAAACATCTAAAGCTGTAAGTCAACATTGAAACAGCTTTGCAAGCTGTGACGGTTTCCTCCTAACAGGCTCCATTGCCACCGTCAGCAAGGGGACAGCCCAGTACAGCGATTGTTTCTGGGGTATTTTGGTTTTGGGTGGGCTTCTTGTTCATTCTGTCCTTTTTGGTCTCTGATCTTATATATTCAGTTTGTGTTCTTGTGGAGAGCAATAGAGTCCAGTTGATACCTCTCCAATGTGTGAGCCTATTAATATCCTTTACAAAACTGGGATATTCCGGTTTTTGCAGTGAAGGAAAGGTATCTATAATATGCGTAAAAACAAATACATTATATTGTCCATGGAATAGTCTCTAGCTATTAAAAGTGAACATTCTCTGTGTTAAATTTTGAGTCCAGGTCTTTGCAAATACAGTTTCAAGATGTTTAACAATTTCATTCAATGATGGAGCACAGATAAGATGGCAGGTCCATGAAAATATAACCAATGATGTCCCAGCCAGCTGAGTTTCTGTAGCTATATACTTGAGAGCTTATTTGATGACTTCAACAACAGCCAGTTTCTTAAACCATGACTCCTCTTCAGTTAATTACAAATAGTTATGTAATGCTTAACAATATATTTATTTAAACATATTTATTATTGAATATTTATTCCAATGCAGAGTATCTTTTGGAAAACATCTTTCCTGGTAACCGAATAACGGCTCGCTTTTATTTCTCAGGAGCAGAGCATCTTTTCAAGAGGTTTGGATCCTTCAAATTGTAATAGACTTGATCACCTGTACTGGGTAGTTCTGACTGCGGACGCAGCACAGTGGTGAATGAGACTGTCTAGACAGCTAGGCCTCTTGGGAACTGTCTTGACTGCATTGGCTAATCTGGGACAACCTAAAAGAGGACAGCACCGTCCCCTGGGTTTGGGTCCCAGACTGTGGGACACAATAGGAAGTAAATGGAGTGGAAAGTATGCATTTTCTCTTGCTCTTGACCGTTGACGTGACCAGCTGCTTCAAGTCTCTGCCTCGACTTCCCTGGAATGATGAACTGTACGTTGGAACGCTGAGCTTCAGGTAAATCCTTTCTCCTCTCAGTTTGTTTCTGCCAGGTATTTTTGTCACCGTGGCAGAAATGAAATCAGAACACTACGTTTTCTGTAATTTCCTAAAAGGATTGGAAAGTCTATTCGGAGGCTTACATTTCTTTTAAGGCAAGGTATTGCTGAATTGCTATAGTAGATCCCCTGGGAAAACCAGTCTTGTTTCTTCAGCACTCAGTCTTTGATGCTGAAGGAAAGGCGCTAGGAGAAAATCCTCATGTCTCTGTTGACAACCTCGGCGTTGCCGTGTCTGGTTCCTAAGTGATTCTAACAGGCCCTTCCTATGTTCTCCACCAAGCCATCCAAACATCACTTGCCAAATATGTGTACTTAAATAACTGTCTCAGCATATGCTTTTTGGGGGGAAATAAACCCAAAATATTTTTCAAATTTTCTAAAAATATTTTCAAACAGTTCCTAATTATACCCTAGAATGATCTTTCATCAGTGACATTTTCACGGGATGCCTGGATGCCACTTCAGGAAACTCTGCATATAAGCCAGAACACCATCAGGGCCACATTTGTAACAGACAGCAGTCAGCATTGTGGCAAAATAAAATACTCAAAGGCTTTCCAGAAGAAATAAAAAAAAATAACTATTACAAGGATGTCTACATCTTGTTATGTAAAAGGCAAAACCTTTCCCAGGTACTCTGTGTAAGCTGTATACAACTCCCCTAACTTCCCTTTTCATAGGTCTTGACATAGGAAAAAGACACATAGAAATATTGAGGGTAAAGAGATGGTAAAGAGGCTGCCAGAGAACCAGTCCTACCACTAGAGAGACAAGGACAAAACTCAACTCTATCCTAAAACTCTGTGGAGAACTGAGGCTAGGGATTTACTCCATCATCTTTATACAAAACTCTATATACTGGGGACATCCAGGCTGAAGAATTCAGAGAGGGAAGGGCACGTCTTGTCCTCTATGTCTCTTCCTCTTAGCCGCTTCTGAGCTGCACCCCAATGAGAAGCTGGTGAGGATATGTTAATTGTTTCTTTGAGGTGTTCAAGGCACTCTAGAAACTAGCGGAACATTTCTCAGTCCTTAAATGCTGTATCTCCTATGGTTATCTGAAACTGGTTAGGAGGACCCTGGAGAGGCAGCTTTTTAACTCATGTCTTTTTGGTGGTGGAGATGGTGGTGGAGATGGTGGTAGTGGAGGTGGTGGTGATGGTGGAGGTGGTGATGGTGGTGGAGGTGGAGAAGGTGGTGGTGGAGGTGCTGGAGATGGTCCATGGTGGTGGACGTGGTGGTGGAGGTGGTGATGGTAGTGGTGGTAGTGATGGTGGAGGTGGTGGTGGAGGTGGCGAAGGTGGTGGTGGTGGTGACGGTGGTGGTAGTGGAGGTGGTGGTGGAGGTGACGAAGGTGGTGGTGGAAGTGTGGAAGGGATATTTCATTCACAGTTCCATATAATTGTTCATTATCAAGAGCAGTGATGGCAGGAACTCATGGAGGGCAACAACCTGGAGACAGGAACTAATGCAGAGGTTGTGAAGGCACACTGCTTACTGGCTTGCTCCTCATGGCTTGTTCAGCCTGCTTTCTTGTGAACCCAGGACCACCAGCCCAGACATGGCACTACCCTCTCCCATTGATCACTAATTAAGAAAATGCCCTACAGCTTCACTTACAGCTTGATCTCATGGAGGCGTTTTCTCAGTTGAGGCTCCCCTTTCTCAGGTGACTCAAGTTTGTATCAAGTTGATATGAAACTAACCAATGCAACCAGCCCCTTTTCAACTTGACATACAAGTATAGCACTTTTTGATTAGAATCTTTCTTTTCTCATTTGTCCCCAAGATAGTCTGTTAATATTAATATCACAGTATAAAGTATAAATAACTTTAAATGTTCAACAGTCCTTAAAAATTTGAAGACATTAAAAGATCAGTCTCTTTAAAATACACAATCTCTTTAAAAATCCGAAATATCTCTTAAAAATTCCAAGTCTTGCAACTGTGGGCTCCTGTAAAAATCAAAATTAGGTTAAATGCTTTCTAAGAACCAGGGCACAGTTACAATATGAACAAAGCCAAACCAAACACCAACAGTGTAAGCAATTCCCTGTCCAGGTGTCTGGGATTCACTGTGATCTTCTGTGCTCTCCAGGAGATTTGGGTCACTTCTCCAGCTCTGCCCTCTGAGGCACACACAGCTCCTTAGGCTCTGGCTCGCCCCACTCCACTGCTGCTGCCGTTCTTGGTGGTCATTCCATAGCATTGGTATCTCCAAAACTGATAGGGTCCCTTGCTGAAACTGGACTGAACATTCAACCACAGCCTCCTTTGGACTCTTTCCAGGGACTCCAGCCCTGACACAAAGTGCCGTCTTTGCCAAGCTCCAAGACGCTTTCTCAACTTGGAAACAAGCACGGCTTGATGAGGCTAACACGACCAAGTTCAGCAGTCAGCACAAGGTCCAACCTGGGCCATGTCTAGAATACAGCTTGTGTGTCATGATCCACAGGAAAAACCTTCCAGAAGACTTCAAATGGCGAGTCTTTTTACTGGTGCTCCAAAACGGGTACTCACCAAGGATGAATTCCTGAGAGTTAGGGTTCCACAAGAGAAGCCTGCTCACTTGATAATTTCCTGAGCTGGAAGATTGCTCTGCTTTCTTCTCTGCTACCCACAGACCCTCTCTCAGCACCTGGTATCTCTGTTCCCACTTTTAGTACACACCCCACTTGCCTTTGGAAGTTATTTTGTAGATCATTATCAAGCATAATTCCAGAGATTTCTTTTGGGATGTTGTCAAACTCTTGCATCTTTGTGTAGTGTCAATGACGTCAACGAATCCTCAGCTCCCTTTCCTGCCTTCTTTCTTTCCCAGCACTGACCCCACATCTGCTGCAAACACAAATCTGAGAGTAAAGGAATATTTTCTCTCTGTGTACGTGTGTGAATATGTGAATTATTTATCAAGGATTCCATAGTTCTTAATATAGCACCCAAGACAGAAGAAGAACTGAATAACTACACTTCAGAGATAGAAGGATGCTTCTCAAGTTAGAGCCAAAGTGCTCGCTTCCATCCTGTTCTGTTTCACTGGGAACATCTGTTCCCCAAGCCATTTATATGGAAGATTATATACACTGAGAGTATAATTAAGTCACCCACAGCCTTCTCCTCTTTGGGCCAACCAGCATCGTTTCCATGATCCCTTCCTCTTAAGCCTGGGTTTCCAACTCTTTAATCATCTCTGCTCTCTTCTACATCCAAATGTCCCACTTCTTTTAAACTGTGGAGACCCAAATGGAAATCTATCATAATGATGCTGTAAAAGTTTGGCAAATCTCAGAAGAAACCATCTGTTCGGTCCTTCCTCATTATCTTTTTCCTGCTTTTTCATTAAGAGATTCTCAAGAAAAGCTATAAAATTTGTTTTTTTTTAAAAATCAGTTCTATAATTTCCCTTCCTGCCTGCTTAATTATTTATGCACATAAACAATTCCTGAATAGAAATAGGTTCCAAAGTGGAAGGTTTATACAGGCACAAATGGAAACTTTTATGCACTATTGTAAGTGGGTTGCATGTACACGTAGGGCCCAGAGCCTGGTTCTAGTCTGCTTTGCCTTTTGGTTTTCAACTGTGCAGGCACACAGCAATTGCTGGGCATTGCCATTGCTCCTCTTAGAGTGCATTTTCAAGTTAAATACATTTTTTTGTTATCTTTAATTGAATCTTTCTTATGCTCTTAGTATGTAACCATTAAGAATTTACAAATACCAATAATATGCAACACTTACTATGTGTCAGAGGAAGTATTTTATATGTGTGCTAACTTCTCTATAGCAATACAGTGAATGAAGTTCCATCCGCATCGATAATTTTCAGATGAAGAAAACAATCATCAGAAACTAAAGACTTCGCTTAAGAGACCCTCAGCAAATGCACGTCGGATCTGGGATTCGAACCCCAGGCCTATCCATGTAGACTGTGTTCTCACAGAAACTTGCTGCACCTTTATCTGACCTTTGTGTTGAACGTTTTGCTTTATGCACAAGTGGAAAATCTTTTGATTTAATTTTTTTCAGTGAGGGTTGAATTTCCTTTATCTAAAATGCTTGGGATCAAAAGTGGAGCCCAAAGCTACGCAGAAACTCTGCCTCAAAAAAAAAAAATGTGTGCATGCGCACACGTGGTGAGGATGCTGCTTTCACAGTCACAATTAGGTATCTTGGGCCGGCAACTGTGGTGGTTTGATAAGAATGGCTCCCATAGGCTCAGATCTTTGAAACATTGGTCATCAGGAAGTGGCACAATGTTAAGGGTTAAAAGGATTGGATGGGTGGCCTTGCTGGAAGAAGTGTGTCACTGGGGATGGGATTTAAGGTTTCAGAAACCCATGCCAAGTCCAGAGTCTCTCTCCCTCTCTGCCTATGGATCAGGATGTAGCTCTCAGTGGCTGCTTCAGTGCCTGTGTGCATGCGGCCTTGCTCCCTGCCATGGCGATAATCAACCCACCTCTGAAACCATAATCCAGCCCCAGTTACATGTTTTCTTTATAAGAGCTGCCTTGGTCATGGTGTCTCATTATGGGAATAAAAGGATGATTCAGACAGAACCCAAGACTAAACACAAAATGAATTTATGTTTCATGTTTCATTAGCATCTCATTTTCATAGCCTAAGGATAATGTTACAAAGAAACTTTAAGGAATTTGTGACTAGGACAATTTTGTAGACTTCTTCACTTGTATCATGTTAACGATGTCAAACCTGCATTATAATTATACCCAAATGCCCTGGTTAACTTGACTGAAGAAACACTCGGGGCTCTTCCGTTACTGATATATATCAGTGAATTTAATTTTCCATATGCACTGCAAATGTAACTTCCGGAAGTTCTCTAAGATTTCCAAACAACTGTGAAATACGCTGTGCACTACCTGCACAGATGCAGGAGCATTGCTGTCTTTTCTCTGAGAGTGCAACCCTGCTCCCACAACTGAGGCTTCCCAGACGGCTCTCCTGCTACTGTGCTGGTCTTCCCGTGAGCTTTTGTGGAAACCTTCCTGCCCTCTCAGGGGTAGCTGGGGAACATCCCCTGAGAACCAGCCGAGCTGCTAATTGCTGATGTGCAGATGCCAGAGCTTCTGCTGTTTGGGTTGTTTTTTCAACATTTTACTTAATGCTTGCCCTGTTGAGTAAAGGTAACATCATAGCTATCTTATTGCATTGAATGTAATGTAATGCCAAAACAGTTTGCTTAAGCTCAGAGGTACAGGTATTTCTGGACCTATTTAAGATGGCAGTTTGTTTGGGAAACTTCATGAACCTGCCTCCAAATTACCTTTGTGTTTACCTACTGCACTTAGGAGTGGAGAGCCATCTGAGACCACGCTGGTGTCTGAGGGTAACAGAAACTATGTGTGTTGAAACTCAAGAGCCACGCTGGGCTGGACCCACCCATCACTGGCCCCGGGAGAACTGGACATGGAAGGAGAGCAGACCCTGACCCCCACTGGGAGAAATGGCCCCCACATTCAAGAGAGAAAGTCCCACCCCTCACCATGGGTATGGGAGAGCTGGTCCCCAGGGCATGGGCCTAGGTAGAAGGGCTGGTTCTGCCCCTCACCTGACAGGTGATCCCAGTGGCCAGGACTGATAAGCACAGTTGGTCACCCACCACTCAGACCCACATCCTGGACCTTGGGTTGGCCCACCCTAACATTCACCCCATCTCTGACAGGCTGGAGCATATGAAGGGTCTGGTCCTGCAGAACGATAACCACAGGATCTCCATGACTCAGGACAACAGCAGGATATCTGAGAGGAGTTTCCATGGAGGTCCAGTGATGATGGTGTGCCAGAGACCTTCAACCAGACCAATGGCTCATGGCAATGAACAGTTTGTGGGTGGGGCTGACTGGACAAAAGGGTACACTCTGTGACACACCACAGCTCCCAAGACCACCAGGATGAACAGAGAGGTGTTGGAAAGATGGAGGAGTGAGGTGGTTTTATTTTGTTTTTAATTAATTTTGGGGAGAGAAGCTGCAGGGGTGAGGGACAGACATGGAGGGACTGGGTGGTGAGTGGGATGGGGTGCATGATGTGAAATTCCAAAGAGTCAATAAAGAATCATGTTTCAAAATGAAGTAGAGGACTGTAAGATGCTCCTACTTTAGTGGAATGTGTAGAACATGGGTTTCTGGAAATAGGCGGAGTCAGCACACTGTCAACAGATGTTGACCATGTGACCTCTGAGGAAGCCTGAAGTGGGAAGAGTATCTTCAGTCATTTGAATGTGATACAGTGATGTTTTCTTTTTTTTTTTTTTTATATTTTTTCAAAGTATGTTTGAATCAGTAACAAGGCATAACTTCCTCCATCCCATCAGAACATATTCCTGAGTGGTAAGATTAGTGTTTATGAAAGTGTAAATATTTATGTTTCACCTTTGGCATTCCTCGAAATATAACTATTTTAAAATTGAAAAGAAAACCACCTAAAAATTCATACACTATCCTTTGTTTGGGTGGTGTTGTAATGGTGTCTTCCTGGATTATACCTCCTAAAACCTTGAAATAGTTTCTTAGTTTTTAAAACTGGCAGAATAAAGATGCACATATGCCTATAAAATCCAAGAAATGTGTTTTATTAAAGAATTTCACAATTATGCAAGTGACAAAATAATAGTAAGCTAAAAGGAAACCAAGTGGAAAAAATGATCCTCATTGGCGCTGATGATCTAAAGTGTGCCTGCTCACATCCGCTCTGGAGGAGGAGAGTGGGAAGCAGGGCTTCCCTGCAGGAGTCAGCCTACCACCGTGGAGAGGTCAACTCCTAGTGCTGTTGAAGACACACAGCTAGGTTCTTGGAGTTAGGGCATGCGCTGTTTGCTGAAATAGTCTGGAACCAAGCTTTTCTTTCTAATCCAAAATACTCAATACTTCGAAAAACTAAAAAAAATTTTAAAAAAAGCCTACTTTTATGTCATTATATTCTATTTTCAACTGGATATTGATGGAGGAGAAGAGAATTCTGGCTAACCTTAACCCCAAAACTTGGAAGAAAACAAAGGAAAGGGAAATTGCTACTTTTCTAGAGCTTCCTGAAAATTGAATTTTTATGATAAAATAAATTCTCATTTCTTTTTCTTTTTTTATTTTTCTCTTTTTTCTTTTTGTTTTGCTTTTTGCTTTTTCAAGACAGGGTTTCTCTGTGTAGCTTCGGCTGTCCTGGAACTCACTTTGTAGACCAGACTGGCCTCAAACTCACAGAGATCTGTCTGCCTTTGCCTCCCTGAGTGCTGGGATTAAAGGTGTGTGCCACCACTATCCGGCTTCTCATTTCTACTCTACAACTTATTTACAACTAGTTTAGCAAAAGTTTTTTGCTTGCCTGTTGTCTGTCTACAGAGAGATATTATCTCTCTATTCATCAATAAACTGCCAATGTGACAGATACTGCTGACAAAATATAAGTAAAGGATATTCAAATGTTCATTGTTATACTGTCTCAATCTATCCATAGGTCTTAAAAATGTTTAAAATAAAAGTGTTAGGGATTAATGAAAAAAACAAAATAAATAAACAAAACTCTCATTATTCCACCAGTACTTCCTTCTTCCTGGAAACTGTTAGTTCTAGGAACTCTCATTTGCATGTTTTACATAATATAGCTTAGCAGGAGAATATACTGTGGATTATTTTATTTTAACATTTTTTATATGTAGAAATGAAGTTTGGAAAAATGTAGTCACTGGTCATACAGTCACTGGGCCAAGGATGGGGTTGTCCTTGTGCATGTGAAGAACCGAGACGGGAGACAGGGGCTAGCACAACAGGAAGGGGGATTACTAGTGCTAGCGAGGGGCCAGGGAAGAGCGACTCAACAGAAAGGGAAGCCAGCACAAAAGGACAGCTATCTCCCACAAAGGGAGGAG